AGTACAATTAAATGGCAGGCTTCAAACTCAGTATACAAAACTCTAGCATTATTATATGTAAACAAGAAATTACAAGATAAATCAATAAAACAATTTACGATCTCATTAAATATCCAGGGATAAGCCAAGGATCTGAAAGACCTGTACAATGAAAACTATAATAAAGTATTATAAGAAATTAGACACAAGGAAATGGAAAAATATTCCTTGCTTGTGCAATGGAAGAATTATTAAAATAGCCATCATACCAAAGCAATACACAGATTCATACAATCTCTATCAAAGCTTCAATGTCACTTTTCAATGAAATTGAGCAAATATTAATGAAATTTATACGGGCCCCCAAATACCCCAAAAGTCTGATCAATCTTGGCAAAAAAGAAGTATCACATTCCCAGATTTCAAACCATACTACAAAGCTAAAGTAATCAAAACAGTATTGTAGTAGAATAAAAATAGAAACCCAGGTCAATGGAATAGAGTTGCAAGCCCAGAAAGCAACCCACTCTTCTATGAACAGTTAATTTACAATGAAGGACCCAAAAGAAAAGGAAAGTCTCTTCAACAAATGTTCTTGGGAAAACTGAACAGTCAGATGCAAAAGAATGAAACCAGACCACTCTCTAACACCATATACAAAAATTAACTCAAAATGGATTGAAGGACATGGATGTAAGACCTGAAACCATAAAATACACAGAATAAAACATAAGCAAAATACTCTGAAATCTTGGCTTCAGGATATCTTTGAGGATTTAACTACAATGGCAAAGGCAAACAAAAACAAAAGTAAATAAATGGAACTTACATCAAATTAAAAAGTTTCTGCACAGTGAAATAAACTAACATTAAAATAAGAAGGCACCCTAAAAAACAGCAGAAGATTTTTGTACATCATGCATCTGACAAGGGACTAATATGGAAGATCTAGAAAAAACTCATACAGACTAACAAAACGGTAAAAATAAACAAATAAATAAATAAATAGGCGGATCTACATAGACACCCTCCAAAAAGAAAGTACAGATGGTCAACAGGCACATGAAAAACTGCTCATTATTACTGATCACCAGGGAAATGAAAGCCAAAACCAAAAGATACCAATGCACACCTGTGAAAATTGCCCATATCAAAAAGACCAGCAATAACAAGGGCTGGAGAGGGTGTGAGAAAAAAGGAACCCTCAGATACTGTTTGTGGGAATGCAGACTATACAGCCATTACGAAAAACAGTATGAAGATATCTCAAAACATTAAAAATAGACCTAGCATATGAGTCAACAATTACTCCTACATATCTACCAAAAAATGCAAAGAAAAAATAAACATTAATTCAAAGGGATATATGCACTCCGATGTTCACTGAAACAGTTACAAAAACAACTAAGTGCAAGGACAGATGACTGAATTAAGATATGTTTTATATACATAATGGAATATTAGTCAGCTATCAAAAAAGTTGAAACTGTAACATTTGTGACAACATAGATGGAATGTGATTGGATTATTTTAAGCAAAATATGTCAAAAGGTACAAGATAAATACAGGGTGAATTAACTCATATGTGGAACATAAAAACAAATTTAAAAAGGAACAGAACAAATGAAACCAAACCCAACCCTAGAAATCTGACTGCAGAACTAAGACCACCAATGGGTGAGTGTGGGAGTGAGGAGCAAAGGAAGTGAGGGGCCCCAAAGGACTAAGGTGGTGGATTATGGGTGCTTTATGGTGAGTATGGTGTACAACATAAATCTGAAGAAGTTAAAACATACCTAAAACATATACCTAAAACATATGGTGTTGTAAACCAATGTTACCACAATTAAAAAAACATGTACAATTAAAAATTAGTAAAATAGGGCCTCCCTGGTGGCACAAGGGGTTGAGACTCAATCTATGAAGCTATCCACAGCCACTGCAGCACCAGTTTGATCCCCGGCCAGGGAGCTACCCACATGGCACAGCAGACCTCTCCTGACTCTCCTGCTGCTCCCTTCAGCAGTGTATTGCTATCTGCCTGTTCTGTTCCCCACTCTGCCTCTAGTGAATCCTCTCACCCCCACACACATACCTCTGGCTTGTACCCCAGTTCTTGTATACATAAACAAATCTTTAAAAAAAATAGTAAAATAAATTTAAAAGCTTTTAAATTAAAACAAATAACTAGCAATGCTGTTAGGCATACAAATTTCTAGCATGTAATTAAGAACAAGTTAAATTTGGTTAAATTGTTTTTCTTTTCTCTGGTTATTTAATTTTATCAGACGTCACAATTCAAGGGAGTTTTGCTAAATAGCTGCATAACTTAGGCCATTTCTATAATCTCAAGTTCTAAGAATCTTTAATTTCGAGAGGTTATATGTGTGGTAGGATTATGGTCCCCTTATTTTCTTCTTCATGCCTATTCAACCTTTTTAAAAATCCCAGTAACTATAACTGGCATGGAGACAGAGAACCTTGTAATCATTAACTATCAAAGTGTACACTGAATATTACCTTTCAAAATGACCAGATTGATGTAGAATTGACATTGTCAATGTGTAGTTGGATGAAAAATGCAGGTAACAGAAAAATACAGGAGTTTTCATTTTTTAATACATAAAAACTCACAAGAATATTGCTGAAAGGTGTGTGTATTCACACATACATATATATGTATTTCTGTAAGGAATGCAAATGCTATTGCTATAGGTTTGCCTGCAATTTCTAAATCTCCTATCAAGACTTTATTATTTGTGTCATTGAGAAAACCTTTCAAAATTCACATATGAAGACCTGCATAACAGACACATGTCAAGAACCAGTTATACCTTCCAGATTCTTGTGATCTAAAGCAAATGATTGTCCTTTTTGTCACTCTCTCACTGCACCTTGTCCTAGTTCCTTCATAGTCCTATTCGCAAACCTAACTTGTAAATATTTTTTTTAAAGATTTATTTATTTATACAAGCACTGGATACAGTCAGAAGTACAAGAGGGTGAGAGAATTCACCAGAGCCAGAGCGGGGAGCAGAATAGGCAGACTGACGAAGTACACTGCTGAGGGGAGCAGCGGTAGCAGCAGGAGAGGTCTGCGGGCCATGTGGGACCGTCGCTGGCGGCCGGGGATGGAACCAACACTGCAGAGGCTGTGGGCAGCTTTGCAGCCCAGCACTCAACCTCTGCACCACCCGGGAGGCCCCTAATTTGTAAATATTATGTTTCATTTTTCATCCTGCCCATGCCCCAATCTTGATCCAAAAAAAGGGCAAACATTTACCTTTTTATATACACAATTGCTAATACAGTGCCTGGTCTGAAACAGTGATTGTATAAATATTCACTGCATCAATGAATGAATAAAAGAATAAATGAAACAAACAATGTATAGAAGGTGTACAGACTATCAAGTAAAAGTTTAAACTGGTTGACAGAAAGGTATTTATATAATAACCTATGCTTCTCATGTTATTGTTCATGGGTAGAAGCATATAATTTGGTAGAAATCAGATGTCCAATAGAGGTAAGACAGACCAGTTTCTTATTAACCCAAGGAGGCTACAAAAAGAGATTTTCAGAAATGAACCAACACAAAATAGGAACTTAACTGTTTTTTGATAAGTTGAAAATATTTATTTATAGATAATTTAATAAGGTATATATAGGAGTACAAAAGGAACCAAAGGTAGTGCAGTAAAACAGAGTGGTGAAAGCAGAGAAGCTATTTCAGAGGTTACTAGACTCTGAAAGGGCAGTTATAGGGAAGGTTACTTTAGGAGGAGCAGTGACTTTCAGGACAGGAACACAGGCAAAGAAAAAGCCTCCCTCTAATCTCCTACTGGAGCTCTCCAATGACCTGAGCCATCTGGAAATCAAAGCAGTTCTTTCAGATTTCATCCCAGTAGAGATCATAAGGTAGGAAGGCTGATAGTGGACACGGAGAGACAAAAAGAAGCTATCTGACATTGAAATCAATGGGAATAATGTATGAAGTTTCAGCAGAATGGATTTTAAAAAGAAGAGAGGTTTTCAGATACAGAAGGTATTTCTCATTAACTGAGAAGAATTCAAAGAAACTGTGAAAGAGAATTACTAGATATACAGAAACAAGGTGATGCTGAATTTACAACCTGATTTGAGCATTACTACACTACATTCTGCAATCAGGGGAAGGGCTGAGGGATGATCCCCCACTGTGTGGACTATTATGGCTAAATATTTATTAGATAACAGTTTTTTTTTTTTTTTTCACAAAAAGAACTAATGATAATTCAGTATCTTTTACAGATCATTGTAAAGCGTAGTAGATAAAGCCCACTTATTTCCAACAAGAAGTTAATTTAGACAAGGGAAGCATCATTACAGGTATCTTTGGAATCACTTTAGATGAATAAATCAACAAATCAACTAGTGACAGATGTGTCCATACTTGTTTAAACTCCATATACATCTAACTGTTAAAAAAAAATGACTAAAGTATTAATCTCAAGACAGCCAGGCAAGAAATGTTATAAAGAGATATGCTATATTATCTCTTTAACCAGTAAGTAAATATAGCCTTCAGAAAAAATCCTTTCCAAACTCATTACTTAGTATCTTCTAAAGCAGAAGACATATAAAGTCACAAACTTGTTAAAAGACAGAAAATAAATAAAGTCAACTGAATCAAAACTGAAACTATCAGTCTCTAATACACTGCATCCAACAACATTCCACAAATATTTACTGAATGCCGACTATATACTAGCACTTTGTAAGGGGTTGGGATACAGCAATGGATGAGATCCAGATCTAACAACACAGACTGTACAGTGAAGTCTTCCAGGAAGCATGCGAAGTTTCAAAACTGAGGGGTAGAGAAAAATGACACCAAACATGATTAGAAGAATTCTGATGTACTTGCTTCCTTTCCTATGTAACCAAAACTAAACTTCATAAGAAATGAAGTGAAAGATGTTAGGGGGAAAAGCCAAGCACTCTAGTGTCCAAAGATTATTCCAAGCCCTAAACAACCTTACCACAAACACTTTCCAGGAAATACTGCAGCCTCTGAACCAAGAAGCTTGAAGCCCATGAAATATCTGAAAGTAGGTACAGATGTGACTTCTGAGAACAGTGCGAAGGTGCTGAGATCTACGATTTAAAAGTAAACGCAACTGTTGAACTAGTGAATTAGTGCAATGAGAATTAAGGTTAAAAAAAAAAAACATAAAGTGAAAATAGAAGTTATTCAAATCAGTGACTCTTATTCAGTAATAGGAACATTGTCTGAGAAGCTCTCCAGGTTATACCTTGGGCCAAACCACCAAATTCTCATCTAGATCCTTCTCATAGCTTTCCCACATCTTACTTTGGACATTCTTGCAAAGAGACATGATAAATCATACTGTTCCCTTCTCTGCTTAAAATCCTGCAGGGTTGTTAAATAAAAATGTACTTTGAATAAAATGCATACTTCATAAGCTGGGCCTGGCTATCTCTCTGACCTCATTCCTACTATTTCCCCCACATGCCTGAGCCCAACCACACTGGCCAGTGTGTGCCCAGTTTGCTCTTACTTTTGAGATAGTCTTGGTGTTCCCTCTGCCAGAAAGTTCTCCCAGACTGATTTATTTTTTTTTTAAAGAGACCTTCTTAGATAGGTAGGTACCTGTTAGGTAGCCCTAGTCACTCATGATCATATCACTGCGTGCATTTCCTAAGGGCAATTTTCACCATTACAAATAGTCTTACTCATGTGCTTGTTTATAGTTTGTTGTATTTTACTTTACAGACTGCAAGTTCAAAGATAAGATCCTTCTTTCTGTCTCTATGGTTGCAATGTCCCCTAAATATATAATAATGCCAACCAGAGAGTAGGCACTCTAATCACTAAGCAAAATTGAATGTAATTAGGATAACTGGCATATAAGTAATCTAAAAATCATGAAAACAGATTATTGTCTTATGTAATTTATTCACTATCCTTTTTTATCTCAATAGTATAGATGAGCCAAAAAGAAATACTCAGAAGTAACATAAAATGTCCCTCTTGTCCCACCGAGTAACATAAAATTCCTACTCCTAAATATTCATTTCTCTCTAAACTCTGCCCCTAAAGTCTTATTTTACCTTGATTTTTTTTTTTTAACAGAGATGTGTGAAGATTAATTTTATGAATTTGGAACCACATTGCACTCAGTCTAGGTGGTACTTTTATTTTTTTTTTCTTTTTTGAAATATTTTACCTTGATTTTAATTATTTCAATGGGAATGACTTTTAAATCTGTATTTCCAGTCCTGGTCCCACCCTCCAGAGTCTTGGCCTGTCTTTATATATTGCAACAGTTCTTCAATTTCAACCAGTAAGTCAAATTTGGCATATGGAAACCTGGAATTAGTACTTCTCAGACAAAATGAGTTTCTCCTTCTATCCTTAACAATTTTATCAACCATTCTTCAGATCCTCAGATTTAAAAGCTAGAAATTACCTTATGAAATTTAAGAACTAGGATTGAAAAACATTAAGTGAAATGGCCTTCAAGGTTTTTAAAAATTATATTAGCCTTTTTTCAAACAAATGCTCACAGGGAAGACTGATATATGTAAAACAGATGAATTTGCAGTTGTTCTGGGAGTTAAACTGGTGGTCTCTGAAGAAAACTTCAAAGGGCCACTAATCTGGCCCAAACTTCCTTTCTTTTCCCCCCACACTCCTTCAACACAAACACAGAGAAAGTGATAGAGGAGAAAATGATAGAGGAGAGCTGAAATCTTTTTTTGCAGTTAGAAATAATTAGTCTATCCAAGATGACACAGCACCCACAATAATATGTAGCATAGAAAATCACTTCAGAGTCAATGTTCTAAAAGACAGTATTTCCTCCAAGCATATGCATAACAAATGATTAGCACTTATTGGAAAATGATACATTTCATGCCTGGTTTTCATTGGCAGGCAATTAATATTGAGTCCAGATAAAATTGTTAGCATCTAATACTCAGATTTAGGCACACCTAGTGAAAGCAGACAAGCTTGAGTTCAGTAAAAATAACCATGGCACAGTAAAAATAGCACAGTCTCAGTTTTATATCTAATGTGGGTTCACTTTCTATTTCTGAGCAGGTTTTCAAACTCTGTTGGCCTCATTCACTCATCTCCTGTAGTAAATGTATGAGATGAGATGCTTGATCTACGATCTGCTATTATGCCATGCTAAACAGTCTGCCCCGAGCTACTACTGCATCTACAGAGAATTAGTATCACTGGTTAGAAACAAATTGGAGAATAAATCATTTTAAGGATCTTTTGAGTATCTATTATCTGTCAGGTACTATGCTGAACATCTGAAATCCAGAAAAAGAACACTATCTCACCTCAGTGAGAAAGCAATCCAATAAGGAAGAGCCAAACAAGTGATCACACAGCAGGAAGGTGAATGCTAAGAGAAGTATGCAGAGAAAGTTGACCCAAGCAGAGATGAGGGGGGCTTATGAAAATCAGGAAAGGCTTTGCTAGGCTGCAGTGTGACTGTACCTGTGGAGGATAAATATGATTTGTGTGCTGAAAAGAGTGGACGGAGTATATATATGTACCAAAAGATTGCACATTCAAATGGTCCTGTACCCTTATACAAAGAACATCAGCATTTACTCTAAGAAAAATAATTTATCAGGCCCCACACAGTTTCCAGAGTTTATGAGAAAAAAATTAAATCAATTTCCTTTTAATAAACATTATTTAATGACCAGAATATTTTTAGGGATGTATATGAACATGCCATGAGTACAACCTGCACTCATGGACAATAACCCAACAGGGAATTTCAAACACCCTGCCCAGGCTACATGCTGCACAGCACCTGGCAGACAAGGTGGCAGAGCCCCTATAAATAGTGATGATTCACCAACATGACATAAATCAAGACTCTAACTCACCAAAAACTAACATTTTGATTTAAAATCACAAATCAGTGCCATTAAAATTCATCACCAGACCCTAACACATGAGTAATGAGATCATATCAAGTTATATCTTGTGACCAAAAGGAAAAGGTGTTTTTTGAAATGGTAATTCAGATTGGACAAATAACACACTGTATCAAGTTTTGTAGCCCTGGGCCACATTTTGCTAAAAACAAAGGTACATTATGCAAGGGGAAAGAAAACAGTGAAAATCAGAGTAATTAATTTCCCAGCTATGTTTCCCATAAAAAGCCATCACTACCACGATTTGCTTACAGCACACCACCTTTTTTTTTTGCATTGCACAATGATGGAAGTGTGTAATAACTTGCATATTTCACTAAGATGTAATATCCTTCAAAACATCCTTATAGTGAAATTTTTCCAAAGAAACTATTGATCTATGGAAGGTCTCAGGTCTTAAAATTACTGACAAATCTTTTCCTATTTTCTTTACAGTTACAAATAATTCTTCTTGATTACTACTGGAGTGTAAAAAGGTCTAAAAATACAAAGACCGAATATTTTCTTAAAGACAAATGTTTCAATTGACACAGGACATTTCCCATAATTTCTTCAAAACAATAATTAGAAGAGTTGTCACTAAGACCCTAAAAATCTATGAAAGAAAACAGGTATTAGTTTGGCAGTTTGGGAGAGGCAGAAATTTCCATAGTGTTTTTACAAATGATTTTCAAATGCTTTTTAGCTGACTCCTCTCATTACTAGTGGAACCTTTTTGTGTTTCCTTGCAGACTTCGGGAATCTTTTCTCATGTGGTTCTGCTTCCCTGCTGACATATTGGTACATTGTCTTTCTATGTTGGAGGCAACAGTTCTCTCCCTGTGTTGTTTTTTTTTTTTTTTTTTTTGCTTTGTTTTGTTTTTTTCCCACTGCCACCTTTGTGGCTACTCAGTGACTTAACTCACCTTGGTGGAAAGGTGACTAAGAAAAGAGCAATTCCTAATCACTCCAGGAAAACACACTGTTCCCTTTCTATGGAGAAATATGAGCGACCCAGAGTCCAGGTGGACCAAGACGCCACAGAGGGCAACCTCCTGAGGGATCTTGTCTAACGTCCGAAATCCTAAGGCCGCCTGGACCCACAGAAACACAGACCAGGAGACGGACGCAAAGAGCAAGAGAGACTGGAAGAGGAGGAGCAGAAAGTTCGCCCTGAAAGAGAGACAGAGAGTGGGGGGCACACAGGGAAAGACGGGGTGAGGGGGAAGAGAAGGCAGCGAGCGCGATGCACAGAGCGGGTGGGGAGAGGGAGGAAAGAGAATCAGAGAGCGGACGGAATCAGGACGGGAAAGTGAGAGACACCCCAACATCCCAGCAGCGCGCGTCAGAGGGAGCGAGACGGGGGAAAGCTGCAGAGACCGAGCCAGGTCCCCGGCGCCGGGACAGCCGCCGCGTCGAGGCCGGGCTTCAGGTGGGCGGAGGCAGGTGTCCGGGCACCGCGCGCGGCCCGCGGGTCCGGGCTCCGCGGCTCCCAGGCCCACAGGACTCCCGCCCATTTCCCGGATTCCGAGGCTGCCCGGGGTTCGCCTCCCGCCGCATCTTGGGCGCGCAGCTCCCGCCTCGGCGAGTCCCTCCTCGCCCGCTCCGGAGCACGTGTCCCGCGCGCCGCCGCCGCCCCCCAGTCCCGGCTGGCGCGGGCGCCGGCCTCGGGGTCCCGGCAAAGCCGCCCGCGCACAAAGCCCAGGCGGCCGCCGCCGGAGCCCTCCCCGCGCCGCCGCGCCCGGTCCCGCCCGAGCCGGCGCCGAGCCCCGCGCCGCCCGCAGCGCCCTCTGCCCGGGCGGCCCCCGCGCGAAGACGGTGCCCCGCCCGCCCGCGCGCCCTCGCGCCCTCGCGCCCTCGCGCCCTCGCGCCTTACCGGCCCGGCGCTCCCGGCCCGGCTGCCCCGCCGTCCCAAGTGTCCCGGCGCCCGCTCGGGCCCTGCGCCGCCTCCGCTGCGCCTCCGCGCCCGGCCCGCCGCGCCCTCAACTTCTGGCCGCCACGGCCGCCGCGCCGCCGCCGCTGCGGGACTTTTTTTTCCTCTTGCTCTGGGCTCCCCGCGCCTCGGCTGCCTCGGGTTTTGGTTTTTTGTTTTTTTTTCTTCTTCTTCACTTGCCCTCTCCAGCTCCCACTAGTGATGGGAGCTGAGCGCCAAGTCCTAGCGGGGGGATTCCACTTCTGGGCGCGTGTGGAGCCGCCCAGCGCCCGCCGAGGGCGCAGCGCAGGGACGACGCGGGCGGCGCCCTCACCCCCGCGGGGCCCGCGCCCGGAGCTCGGCGGCTCCCCCGCCCAGCGGCTTTAACTTCTCAACCCGTGGCCCCGTGTTAGGAAGGGTTTAAAAAATAATAATAACACAACCTAGGTAGAGGTGGAAAGAGCTCCCAAAGATGCCCTAGTGCGGCGGGTTGAAACTTTTCAGGGCCATTGACAGTTTTGAGAGGCTGGTAAAGGTTAACAGACCTTGTTTTAAAAAAAAAAAAAAAAAATGCACAGACACATCAAATTACGCCTGCAGTTCTGGATGGGGACGTTTAAGAAGCCTGATCTTAGAGTTGGGCCTCCTCGGGAAATGAAATCATTCCTTTCTACAAATATCTTGAAATTTAAAAAAAGCAAAGAAAAACCCTTCCATTTGTATTTGATGCGGTTTTATAATTAGTAATGTTGATTTTGGAAAAGCATTATAGTATCTTACTTCGTGATATCCTTGGTAAGTCTTTAAATATTTTCTGAGGCGGTAAATACAAGTGAAGTTAATCCACAGTCTTTCAGGAGGCTTGGGAAGAATAGTTAACTTCTTTCAAACGGCACTATTTTGTCGATTCTACTTTCCAGTGAGATATATCTTAATAACTTCCAAGTATTTTTTGCTCCCCGATGCCTTTCAGCTGGCTCCAGAACTAACTTCCTTCTTTTGTAAATGGTTTCTACCTCCCAATTGTTTTGATAAACCCTCTCTGGTCACCATCAAGTGTGTGATTTAACTAATTTCTTAGTACAATTTCACTCCTGACATACTTTTTCCCAGTTTTCATTTCTATGTCTTTTATCCAATTCTTGGCTTCTTTCAGCTCCTCCTTTTTCTTAAATTATCCCCATTAAATCTTATATGTTAAACATTAAATATAATCACTTATACTTACAAGAAATTTAAATTAATTGTATATAAACATTCTATGTAGCACTCACTATGAGCATGTGGTTCTTCTAGCATTTATTAAGTCTATGAAATCTGAACACATCTTACCCATTAAAACAATGCTACAATTCCCACAAAAGTCTATCTGTCCCATGATGTTTCTGAACCATATTTTCAGGACTAACATGACTTCTGATTCCTGGGCCTAGATGGAAGAAGAAAGATCTGTCTGACATAAAACTAGAAAATTTTCAGAACTGGTGTCATTAGTCATGGACATCATGCTACCTCCCTTACTCAGCCTTCATTTTCACCCCCAACATTGGTATTCATCTCCCAAATCCCAAGACAGAAATCACTCATTTTACCCTCACCCCAAGTCCTCCCTACTACAAAATTAACTTCTTCCTGGTCCTCAGTGAAATTTCTTAACATCTCCATACTCTGACATTAACTACGTTTGAAGAGGAAAGAAATATATGATTAAATCAGGTCCCTCTATTGTGTGAACTACTGATACATTTTATTTAACAAATATACACTTTCCTCTTAGAATTCCCATCCTCACAAACTGAGTTAAATAAATCAGCTGTATGGAGAAAGTATTGAAACAGAGAGTGTTTGAGTTGTCCAGGTAATTTCAGAAGCTATATTAGAATTGGCTTTCCTTAGATGACACTGCTCAGCAAATATCCTTCTAAGCATCTATTGAACATAAGACAGATTCAGTGAATAGAGACATATCTGGGTAAGGAAGACACAGATTCATTTGAATTAACTTACAAACAAGCAGATAGATTTTTGAATATTATATTTAAAACCTCCAAGTCAAATGGAAAAAAAAAAAATGTCCATAGGTTTACAGGGGAAACAAAAATACTCCCAGGGATAGAAAATCAAGAAAATGTGTTTGAGATGGGCCGTAAAGGTTACCATTCAGTAGGCAGGAATGGCCAAACTGGGGTAGGTGTAAGCCATTCAATCATCTTCTGCATTATTAAGTGTCAACGGCATTCCAAGCTCTGGTGTTTGAGATTCAAGCCCTGTCGATTCGTTCTTGAAACACATAAGAAAAGAGACATTTCTTGGGCCTCACCGATGGTGCAATGGATTGAGCGCGGCGCTGTGAAGCTGTCTGCAGCCTCTGCAGCGCAGGTTCGATTCCCGGCCGGGCAGGGAGAATCCCACATGGCGTGGCAGACCTCTCCTGTCTCACCCGCTGCTCCCCTCAGCAGTGTATTTCAGTCAATCCACCTGTACTGCTCCCCACTCTGTCTCTGGTGAATTCTCTCACCCTCCCTTGCCTCTGACTGTACCCCAGTTCTTATATCAATAACTAAATCTTAAAAAAAAGAAAAGAAAAGAGACATTTCTTTAATTGGAATATACCATGAGAACAGTAACGATGCGTGCACACACAGTCACTGGAGCACAGAAAAAGGAGCTATCCTGGGAATGACAGGAAAAATCTTTTCAGAGAGTACTCACATTTTAACAGGGTGCTGAGGATTTTAGAGTTCATAGAATAGTTAGAAAGAGAATAAACTTTCAAGGCAGAGGTAGCAGCATGAAAAACCATAGTGCATATAAGGATTTGGGTTCAGGAACGATCTTCTCAGATATGCTAATGAAACAGATGTGTCCTTTTGGTCATTGGTACACATTACAGATGTTTAAGCCAAGGAGTTAACTGTTGCATTGTGATTTTTTGAAGATCACTTCAAGAGGAATTAGTGAAAGCTCAGACTCAAATCAAGTTGTGTCAAGAATAATGATCCCGAACCAACACAATGACAAAAAAGACTATCAAAATCAACAGACTTGAAAAACACTTCAGATAAAGTTGTAGAAACTGATTCCCTGTTTTGCAATTGGGATGGCAGTGCTTTTAAAGGCAGTGGGGACCCCTGGAGAAGGAGAATTGAGAGGAGGAGAAAGGGACTATTTTGTGGCATGACAAGTTGGAGCAGGAGCATAATTCTTTTTTTTATCCAGTTGTAAAAGTAAATCATCTAAGTGTCTCAGGAGAGACATTAGAGTAGCAGAAGAAAGGATTCTCAAAGAACTTGCAGTTTATTTCCCATTAAGGAAGACATTTTCTCAACTCTTCTGGACTCAAATTATTTTGGGAATTCACATGCAGCTGAATAAGACCTGAGAGAGTGATGCAGTGAGCTTGCTTCCGTGCTTTCAGTTTCCCATTTTCCCCAACTGTTTTTCTCTTCATCTATATCCTTATTCCCACATCTTTTCCTTTTCCATCTCCCCCTCTTTCAAAACTATGACGGCTCTGATCTCTATTAATATCTCATCATAAATCAAATGTGGTTTTGAACTATTTCTCTCTAAATGTGGACTAAAACATTCTCTTTTTTGAGATATTTTAAGAATCAGGTGAAAGAAATATTTCACAGGAAAGAAGAAACTTTTTCTTTCCCCACAACTCATATTGTTATAGTTGTCTTATAATCCACTGCTAATACATTGGCACTGCATACACAAAATAGGAGATTAAACCTTTCAACAACTGCTCACTGTAAATATAAGACCATAGAAGTATGAGTGAAATGTGTAGCTTCTATAATAAAAGTTAAATTTGAATGACTACCATGTGCTACACACATTCCTAAAAACTTCAAACATATTAACATGTTAAGACACCATATGTTAGGTACTGTTTTATTCATTTTACATATGAGGGAACTGAGAAATTCAGAGGCCCTGCTAAAAAGTAAAAGAGGCAGATGTGAGTTCAGGCAGTGTGGCTCCAACACCCCAGTCTTAATCAGTGTACTTAACAATTAACAGACACTAGAGAAATTGAGCAAAAGATCTTGACTCTAAGGTACATAATGTTAGCCAAATATAATGTTAGATGTATAATGTTAAAAGCATGGGAAAGCAAAATCTTTGAGTCCTTTGTATTTTGTTAGACAATTTCTTGAGTTTTGGGGGGGAAGCTAAGCAGCCAGGGGAGAAGTGGTGGAGCCAGGAACCTGCTGTCTTTCATTACTCTTTCCTATCACAAATTTTTCACACAATCAGTGTACTAGAGAGAAATGGGCACTTTTAGCACATAATTGATTTTTTTTTTTCACATTGTGTAGCAGATTGCATTGTAAGGCAATGAGATTCCCATCACAGCATGAGGAATAGGTCGAGATGGACTATAACAAAAGGGATTCCTATAGCGGATGGAAAAG